CTGTGAATGGATTCTTGATATCTTTGATACTGTTGCTGTGGCAACAAATCAAACTTTAACATTCTTTTTTGATACTTTTGGGACTCTTAGCATGCTTGAAATTGCTTGAAACAGATAGATACAGATAGCTCGACAGATACATCACATTTATTAGCCAGTAGGCATGTGCAACTTTGGCAAAAGATTAAAGTAATGTCAAAAAAGTAAACAGTAAACACTAAAAGCCTCATATCTTCTAAAAATGTAATTATACATCATTTGTTTCTAAATTAAATTATACAAATATTATAATTAAACCAGTTTTTCCCTTTTTTCATTTAAGAATTATGTTTACGTTCAAAAACAGCCAGAAAGGTTTAAAATTCAGAAGAAGAAAAAATAATCTGAGTCATACGTAGTGCTATACTGCCCTCTTGTGTTCAATATCAGGTAGGCCTATTGTGTATATTCCCACCGGTTAATCAACGTGTGACTCCGCTGGGACTCGGGAACTTTTAAATCGCTTACTTAAAACCGAAAGTCAAAATACAGATATCCGCACAAGACATTAATGTTGTGGAGTAGAGCGAGCATTTTAAATAAATTCCTATTAAGTAGGATTGAACTAAACAGAATGAACGTTCACTCTGTTCTGCTGGTTCCTCGCTGTTGGCGCGCACAGTTATGAATGCTTGTGCAGCCATGAGTTTTAGTTTAATTTTAAAATTAGCGCAATTTCGGGATTTGTATTATTTGAATTTATTTTTAAAAAACACAATGTTGAGTTTTATTGTAACACTGTTTAATCGCGCCCACGGTTATATTTTGTATATTATATATAATTATAATGTATTTCTGTATAAAATAATACTACAATAAAAAACACATTTGTGACCGAACTGATCCAGCAAAATTAGTCACAGTGACCCAAATTTAAAAATTGAGATTTTGATATTAATGGAAAGAGGACACTGTGCTTTCAAATGATACCTTGGTCATACCTTGAATGGTTGTAACGATATACAGATTTGAATTCTGGTCGTCTGCCCTTTTTTTCCAATTGAAAACCTAAGAAAATCGCTTTTAAAGTTTTTTTGCCCGTTTTTTTTTTTTTGGATATCTTTCAAAATCCATAGCATTTTAAGGGATAAACTATTTATTTTATATAGCTTAATTTGACCAAATAGATTAACATATAAATGCAATTTAACGAGGCTGAAACTCAACTTATTTTTAATTTTTTTGAAATAAATAATTAAAAAGTCACTTTTACAAAAATGTTCTAAAATCAGAAAGATTAAAGAGGAGTCAGAGAGAAATTCAGTTTTCATACGGATTAGCCCACATAAGCAGAGAGCAGTCTGTTTTCTTTCATTTTGAATGGTTGTGTTTAAAAGTAGACATTTCAATATATATGTCTGTGAGGATACCTTATACGCTGACTTTCGGTTCATGAGACAAGCTTCAGTTCACGTGCCGCGCGTCTCCGCGTCGTGATTAGGCCTAGCCTATTGTCTGCAATTTATTTCTTATTATTAAATCCTAGTAATTGGTTGATGAAACATTGATTTAAATTAAGATAATTATTTTAAAACGAAATTTACTTTAAAGAAAGGCTTTGTGCTTGCATGTTTAAGCTATGTGAAAGTTTTAGTGCTGCTTCCAGAGAACGGTCACGTTCGGATTGTTTTTCCTCATAAATGCGAACAGGAAAATAAAATAAAGATTTTATGTTCTGGAGAGAGTCAACCCTTCTTCATCCGGTGAGTATTACTTTTGGTTTGTGCAGTGTGGTTCACATAGGCCAATTTATTAAAATATTTAATTATCTGGGAATTGGATGCTGAAATTGCCCAATTTAAAAAAAAAATAGTAATAATTTAAGTTTTGTGGTGTAAGTCTACGTATTTTATAGGCTAATGTTAACTTCAAATAATACTAATAGTAATTTAAAGATGTTGTAGCTAGCATTGGGTCTGGACGTGAAGGATAACTTCGGGAGTTGAAGGGACGTGTCGGTGTCGTGATTCTGTCTTCTCACACCGCGACACAGGTTCGTGGATCTGAGTGTCGCGATCGTTACAGCCTTACATAGGCTATATTCTTCTTGCAGATAAATATACTCACGCAGTTTAGGTTAGAAGCCTCCAGTGAGTTCAACGTTTCAGGGGATACCCGGGAAATGCTCAGAGGTGACGAGGGGAGTTGAGAAGAGCAATGTTTATTTCAGCGAATTTAAAGCTTTGACAACTTTAATCGTTATTTAAATACCTTTACTCAATTATCTCGACTACGAAACCCTGTGAGATTATTTTTGAATGTCTGTTCTTTGAAATTAGCAAAAAAAAAATATATATATATTTTTTTGTTATTTCATGGTTTTTCCACATAATCGGCCCATATCTTAAAATGGAAGGTTGCAACTTCCGACTCATTTCGCCAGAGCGGGTCACATTTGATTTTTATTTTTTAAACAATGTAATGTGTAACCTAAAAATAAACAGATTATTTGATAAATGATATATTTAAATCTCCATATTGTAGCCTAATATCTGCAGGGCAGCCTAGTCTTAATAAATGTATGCTTCATTTTTCATTAGTAAATTTGATCAATAAATTCAATAATTTAGAATAATAAGACACTATAGGGCTGTTACCCTAGGTAAGGCTGATCAAATTAAATCGGTTACACAATAATGTTACGAGATTGGTTTAACAGGAGTCAATTAAAAATCGCTGTAAAGAACGATACTTTTAAACATAACCCTAAATCACCATAAGGTGTCGCCAGATGACCGTCTTAATGAACGAGTCATGGATTCAAAATGCTGAATCATTCAGTAATGAGAAAACACATTGCTTTGAGATGCGCGATGGGTCGCTGTGATCTTTGTTTAACTATTTTCTCTGCTGAAACAGAAAAAAAGTCAATATTGCATCTAAAAAGTCAATATTGCATCTAAAATGTAAGTGACTTGACTTGTGTGTGTGACTATGTTTGTTGTAGTGATAAGAGTTGCATCCTTGTTAAAGTTTAAGGCCTTGTGTTTTTGGATATATATGAAGAGTTCAGATGCAAAAGCCTCTAAATGCCATTTGAAATGTTCTTCTTTAATGATGATTTTTATCAAACTTGTATATTTAAGTTCAGTAATTTCACTTAAATAACAATTAATAGGTAATCATCATTGCCATTTAAGTGAAATCACTGAACTTAAATATACAAGCTTGATAAAAATGATCATTCTAGAAGAAAATTTCAAATGGCACTTAGAGGCTTTTGCATCTGAACTCTTCATATCTTTCTTTCTTTTTTTTTCTTTTTTTTACAAAATATGCATATAACCCATATATTTTAGATTTATTATTTGTTTTAAATTAAATTAAGATTGTATTTTTGGTAATTGAACCTGAATGAATTTAAAAATGAATGTGCTATATTTCAGATCATATATTTGTTTTTCTTAAAATTTGAACTAACTTTATTCTCAGCTGAATTATAAATATTTTATTTCTGTATGAATTAAAAACACATTTGATTTTTCTTTTTTAATCAATGTAGAATGTGTAACTGAAATATAAACAGATTAGGGCTCTGTTCGAGGACAAGTAACTAAAACCAATGCGACATGATGAATGTTTGTTTCCCAAACCATCTGAGTAACCAACCCGATCTCACGACCAAGTCGTACGAATTCGACGAATGATTAAAAAGTGGCTAATTCGTAACAATTCATACGACCTCACTCGTACGAATTAATACGATTTTGCTAAATCGTACATATTTTACGAATTGGCCAATTCGTATGAATTCGTACGAATGACCTACCCCTGACCCCGCCCCTAAACCTAACCATCACGTGGGTTTAGACAAATCGTACGAATTAGTACGAGTGAGGTCGTACGAATTAGTACGAATTAGACACTTTTTAATCATGCGTCGAATTCGTACGAATTGGTCGTGAGATAGTGTTGGAGTAACAGCTTACTTTTCTTTCTTACTATATTCTTTCTTACTATAAACTGTGCTGTAGAGCTTGCATCAGTCAAAGCAGGGTTACATTTTGCATGTCGTGCACAATAAACCTAAAGGCACCAGGGTGGCGGTGCCACCGGCTTCATATATATATGTATATATACAGTATATATATATATATATATATATATATATACAGTATATATATATATATATATATATATATATATATAGCTGTGATCCGCGATGAAGGGCCAAAGCCAGTGGCATGGCCACCCTGGTGCTTTTAGGTAACTAAGGAACCGGGGTTGCGGTGCCACCGGCTTGGGCCCTTCATCGCTGCTCGCAGCTATATTATTATTATTATAAACATAATAACTTCTATATTTTTAGGAAGCAACTTTAAGGTGTCTACAGAATAAAGCCAAAGTATTTTGGCATATTCCAAATATTGGAATATATTCTAATATTCCATATGGCATAAAGTAAAAGATAAACTTCCAAAAATAAAGCCACCTTGAAAAATATTCACTGTAATAAAAAATTGTGACAACTAGCCCCAGTCTTTCCATATTATTGACATTAATGTTCTATGGAAATATATAGTGAAAGAGAACAACAGCACAAGATGAAGTTGGCCTATGTTGTCTTTACAAGACCCAAAGATTAAGATTGATCATCTTCTAAATCAAAATGATAAATGCTAAATAAAATATGTCATCTCACTGATTACACAATAGCTAGCACAGGCTAATATGAAAATTGATGTTAATATACATAAAAACAATCTCACAATGTACTCACAGGATTTTATCCACTGGAAATGGATTTTAATAGATGTGAAAGCGTGGAAAGCCCCGCTTGGCATTGAACTTAGTTTAAATCAGGATAGAAGCTGTGTAATTAAAGTGAAAGTGATTTTAAAAGGAAACTTGTTGCTGCTTGTAAATGCATCTACTGTTACCACGAGATTCCCTCAATTTCACCTCAGAGAGCATAAAAACACAAAGTGTGATATCAGGGTTCGTTCAGAGGTGGTTTTGAGTCTTGTCTAGCGTCTGTGGCTTTATTTAATCCGTTCTGCTGTTGTGTAGACATATGTATGACATTGCCATTGAATTACCAAACAATTAAGCAAATTGCGTTGCAAGCATTTAGAAAAATCATGTTAATAGAGTTTATTCACTAGGGGGCGATGTAGTGCCATAGTCATACATGTGCTGGCATTCAAAGAAACAAAAACAACAACAACAGAACCACCACATTTAACTTGAATGAATTTAACAGAAATATTGCACATGTATTCATTAGATGGACTGGAGCCTGAGACCATGTGAAGAAAATATATAACATTTTTTTTTTCAGATTTTGACTGTGCAAAATTAGTCGGAGAATGTTGGTGGAACTTGTTAACATAGGAGTAGTTGGCAAACAAGTCGAGGCAATCAGTTGTTTTGCTCTTACTCTTGGCTGATTATAGATGTATAATTTGATTGTTTTTTTTTTTAATCTAACTTTTTTCCCCCACAATTACTAGACTAGTGTTTTCCAACGTTTTTTTTGTCTTAAGTGTCCCAACAAATTAATAAGGCTCAAGTACACCTTCATAAACACCAAACATTCAGCATATACTTATAAAGTCAGTCATTATTTATGTTGAAAAAAAAAGGAAATAATAAAAAAATAATACTGTGATTGTAAAACTGACTCAGCAGATGTACAAAGCGCTATTTCCTATCCTTTTCCATAATGTTTGATTTTCTTAAAAGTGAGAGGTGATAAAAAAATCATGAAATTAATATCAATTAGATTTTTTTTATTTTTTTATTTTTTTCAGCACCATTGTTTGGGAATCACTCTCCAGGCTCTTGAATCTTGTAGCAAATCTTATATTCTACAAAAATGTAATACATATTTTTGACTATATGAAACATCTCTACTAAAATCAAGCATTGTATTAAATATTTTGAATATTAGTGTATTATCATTATTTTTATTATTAGATTACAGAATACACCTATTAAGTTAATTTTGATAATCCAGACAATTATTGAAACAAAACTCTTTGTTTCAATACTAGTGATGACGACATAACTTACAATGTATAATCTTTAAGTAGATAGACAATTCTCAATATCACATATACAATACTGCAATAATCTCCAGAGCAACTTTTTGAATCCTCAAAATTCAATACAAAATGAATATTCTATTAATAATTTACATTTTTCAGTAAAAAGCAAGATTCAACATTATTTCAAAACGGAGACCACTTCATTACTTAAGAACCTGGCTCTGTAATTATACTTTTCTGCATTTCTTTTATTCCTCATATAAAAAGCAAGCTGACCTGTCAATTTAAGCACTGATGAAGGTCATTGAATAATCTGCACTACAGTTTGATGTTTTATTTTCATTTTTATAAATGTGTATTTTTATAAGAATAAAGGATGATAGTTAAATGTTACTGTTAATCTACTGGGCGGAGAAAGAGATAAAGACAGTTTTCATTATTGAATTTGCGTGAGCTTCTCTGTAGAAGCAAATGCATACAATTCACCCCAAGCAGGCAAGATGCTCTCCCACACCAACTCTATTTCCACCATGCCAGTTGATTCTAAACAGCCAGCAAAACTGTGAATGAGGTGCCCATCCGTGTTTCACGTTCATTGACTTTATATTGTGAGGTGGCGCAAGTAGTGTGTCTGGAAGTGCATACTAGTCCATTATTAAGTCATCTTTGTCTGAAGATGATTTCAGGTGTGTCGATGATGATTCATTAGCTCTCCTGGTTGGCGTACATGCCCGCCTCCCACTGCAGGGCTCGTTGGTTTTTATGTCTTGTTACACGGGTGGCCTCTACAACCTGCGGAGAAACCACTGTTACACAACATGATCAAACTCTTTATCAGAGGGCACTTGACATAGAAAAGCTCATCTCACCTCGTTGTTTACGGCATCAACAGGTTGGATCCCAGCGTACTGAGAAAGAACGAGGAGAGAAACATTTATAAAGAGAAACATTTAAATGTCTCTAAATACATTGTTAAAACTGTATCTATTGTATATATGTATTTTTAATAAATGTATTATATTATTCAATGATTCATTACTTTTACATTATTTGGGATTTGAAATGACATTAAAGGGATAGTTCACCCAAAAATGAAAATTACCCCATTATTTACTCACCCTCAAGCCATCCTAGGGGTACATGACAAAAGCTAGTTATTTTAGTCGATGAAGGTTTAAATATGGGTATTTTTCTGACACAAACACATCGCTTCACTTCAGAAGGCCTTTTAAAAAAAATGAGCAATAGTTTTGCTTGATAAGACCCTTATTCATCATCTGAAATCGTTTAAAGGAGAACTCCGGTGCAAAATGAACCTTCGGTCTAATTACACATTGTTACCTAGTCAACCGTTATCTGAGATTTGTTTTCATGATTGCCGAATGTAAATAGTTTTATCTCTAAAAACAGTTTAGCCTATAATGCTAGTAGTATAACGCTAGTAGATAGGGCATAGAGTAATGACAAATAAAAATCGCTTGTTATTACCACTAACAAGGCTCAAAATAGCCCCACAGTAACACGGTAGCATAATAAGGGTCCCTATATTCAAACCGAAGCATTGAGAACTTTGTCAGTGTCCATACAGTTTAATAAGAAGATATTTTATACATACAGTCAACTTCGCGAATACAGGAAGAAGCCATCTTTGAAAAATAGTCTCTACCAGTCGATCTACGAACGCAGATCCAAGTGCGCTGAACTGTGCAGAATCTCATATGGTCCGTTGTTTCCGGAAGAAACACAAACACGAACCATTTTCTTCTCTTCAATATGTACATGTAGACTACTGTTCGCGCTCACCTCATCACCTTATTCACATCTCACCAGCGCACTTGGATCGGCGTTCGTAGATCGACTGGTAGAGACTATTTTTCAAAGATGGCTTTTTCCTGTTTTTGCGAAGTTGACTGTATGTATACAGGGCCGGATTAAGAGTTCAGAGGCCCCTGGGCACAATGTCTTGTAGGCCCCCTCTTAAGCAGGCCAAATGTATATTTTGTCCAAGGACATTTTAATATGGCATTTACAGTTTTACTAATTAACTTTGTTGAACTATGCTGGAGTAAAGTTCATAAATGGTTGTTCTTTCCTATTGGAATTTGTAAAACTATGTTGGGTGGACCCTTAATATAGGCTAGCATTTATAGTTTTACTGATTTACTGTTCCTCTAGCGGGGTTCAGGGGCATGGTCCCCCGCAAGAAAATTTTGTACATTTTAAGGTTAAATGCATCAATCTCGTGCTCTTTGAGAGATCAAAATTAAGAGCTTCAACCCATGAACTGCTCGTTGAACAAAGAAAATGCATTGATTTGTACCAGGACAATAAAACAGGGCTCAAACATATTTTTAGTTGAGTCTCAGTCTAAATTACATTATCAATGGAGTTTTAGGATCCCAAACAATTATTATAATAATGTAATAATGATTTATATAATTATTAAAATGTCGTAAAATCCATATAGCCTATAAATGTACTATATAAATGAAAATGAATATTTCAAAAGTATATTTTAGTCTACATTACACTATAATATAGGAAATTTAAATACTTTTGTCCTTATTTCTTCACTTGCAAGAAATAAACCCTTGAGCTTGTATTTAGGAGAAAAGACCATCCTGATCGCGTGAGCAAAGTGCATACTTTTCTTTAAATCACCCAGCACTGATGCCTATTCTTAAAGTCATGTGCTGTTTTATAAACGCAAAAAGCCATGCCATGGTTCCGATTTTAGTTAGTTGGGAAAATAACACGCTAGAGACCTATGTTAGGTTAAACATTTTACATCTCATATGTGTTGGGAAAAGGGAGAAGAGACTTCGGCAAAAGGCGGATTTGAACTCGGGTCCGAGCGCTGCGGATCAAAAGCTCATTCACGCGCTCAGCGCGTTACGACCTACGCCACTTTAGCTGTGACGTGATCGTCGTCTTTTTTCATAAAAAAGACAGGCACTTAGTGGAAACATATGCTCCGTTTTATCAAACCGTCCCTCGCGGCCTCGAAACACTACCGGCCCACCGGGGAAACTCCCGACTCTCCCGATTGCCACTCCGCCGCTGGTGCCCAGGGCCCCTTAGATGTTGTGGGCCCCTGGGCAAGTGCCCAGTTGGCCCAGTGGTTAATCCGGCCCTGTATGTATAAAATATCTTCTTATTAAACTGTATGGACACTGACAAAGTTCTCAATGCTTCGGTTTGAATGTATGGACCCTTATTATGCTAGCGTGTTACTGTGGGGCTATTTTGAGCCTTGTTAGTGGTAATAACAAGCCATTTTTATTTGTCATTACTCTATGCCCTAACTATAGGGTTATACTAGCGTTATAGGCTAAACTGTTTTTTAGAGATAAAACTATTTACATTCGGCAATCATGAAAACAAATCTCAGATAACGGTTGAGTAGGTAACAATGTGTAAATATAGCTGCGAGCAGCGATGGCGGGCCCAAGCCGGTGGCACCGCAACCCCTGGCTCCTTTAGTTACCTAAAGGCACCGGGGTGGCGGTGCCGAAGGCTTTGGCCCTTTCATGATTAAATGTTAAAACGGCTTGCCATAGTCTGTCATTTTGACTAGTCACAATTATGTTACAGATATCTTAAATGATAATACAAACTATCCAAAATGTAATTACGACTAGACAGAAAGACATTGTTGATATCTACAATGTTAATTTCCGGATAGGCAAACTTAGCTTTTAAATGTTAAAAGGGCTTGCCATACACGGACGTAGGCTCAGAGAGAGTATTCAAACCAAAATATCTGACTTCCTCTTGGTCTGAGCTAATGACTATGAATTAGAAAGTTGTCTGGCTTGAGGAGTACAATGTATATAACGATTTTTGTAACTGTAGATAAAAATAACAACCCCACTTTTGTCAAAAGGTGGCGCTATTTAGTCCCTGCACCATGCCCGTTTCTGAAACTTTGCACATGTCTACTGGCTAATAAATGTGATGTGTCTGTTGAGTTTCATGCAATTTCAAGCATGCTAAGAGTCTCAAAAGCATCCTAAAATAATTTCAAAGTTTGAAGCTTTGCCACGGCAACAGTTTAAAAGATATCAAGAATCCATTCCCAGGTCTACATCTACCGTATGTTTACATTATACAGATGAAGTTTTTCATCTGTTTTTCATCATTATACAGATGAAGTTTTTCATCTGTTTACATTATACAGATGAAGTTTTTCATTCATATTATTACATGCAAGCGTGTTTGATTTATGGACCAAGTTTTCGGACCCCGTTCCAGGGGGCGCTGTCTAGCCCCCCTGCCACGCCTAGGTACCATCTTCAGCCCGGGCCTGATGGCTGTGGGATATGACCTGTGTGCAAAGTTTCAAGAGTTTTCAAACCCGATAAGGGCCTCAAAAGCCATTAAGAGTCTCAAAATCATCAAAAAAAAAAAGAATTTTAAAGTTTGATGCGTTGCCACGGCAACAGTATCAAAGATATCAAGAATCCATTCACAGGTCTTCATCTGCCATGTATTTACATTATACAGATGAAGTTTGAAGCAAATCGGGTAAAAATAAGAGGTTGATTTCAAAGCATTTTGAAAGTGACACACTTCCTGCTGCCAGTTGGTGGCGCTATAACTTTGACTCGAAATAGTCTAATCCATGTGATCGTCCTCTTACAGCGAACACACTGATGAAGTTTCATCAAGATATGTTAATGTATGCTGAAGTTATAACACACTTCCTGTTTCACGTTTCTCGCCATAATTTCGTTTCCTCGCCACGGCCAAACCGTTTGAGATATCAAAAATCCCCTCACAAACTTTCATCCTCAATGTCTTGACTTCTTGCACACCGAGTTTGGTTGTGATTGGTAAACACATGCGTTGTAATTTGATGTATTTCTCCTAGGACAACTATTCAAACAACCCATAATTCTCAACTTCCATTTTAATTGTCGTAAAACTTAGAGCACGAAAGTTGTTTGGCCTGATGTGATCTATAATTGTACCGAGTTTCATATTAATTCACGCAAGTGTGTTTGATTTATGGACAAATGTTCGAATCCCAGTCCAGGGGGCGCTGTCGAGCCTCCCTGCCACGCCCGATGACCAGCTTCAGCCCGGCCCTGATGGCCATGGGTTCTGACCCGTGTGCAAAGTTTCAAGAGTTTGAGGATGTTAAGGCCCCCGAAAATGCCAGAGAAGTCGCACACAGCAAATAAAGGGTTAAAATTAACCTGACAGGCGCCCCTCCTCTCACTCACACAGAGAGACACTGAGAGACTGGCAAAATTCTAAGATTTTCTCTACATTCAAACAAAGATATCTGACTTTCTGTGGGTCCTAGCTAATGAGTGTCAATTAGAAAGTTGTCCGGCTCGAGGAGTACAATATACATACCGATTTTTGTAACTCTAGTTAAAACTAACAACCCCACTTTTGTCAAAAGGTGGTGCTACTGAGCCCTCACCACGCCCGTTTCTGAAACTTTGCACATGTCTACTGGCTAATAAATGTGATGTGTCTGTCGAGTTTCATGCGATTTGAAGCATGCTAAGGGTCTCAAAAGCATCCTAAAAGAATGGTAAAGTTTGATGCGTTGCCACGGCAACAGTTTCAAAGATATCAAGAATCCATTCACAGGTCTACATCTGCCGTATATTTACATTATACAGATGAAGTTTGAAGCAAATCGGGTAAAAATAAAAGGGTGATTTCAAAGCATTTTGAAAGTGACACACTTCCTGCTGCCAGTTGGTGGCGCTATAACTTTGACTCACAATAGTCACATCCATGTGATCGTCCTCTTACAGCGAACACACTGCTGAAGTTTCATCAAGATCAGTTAATGTATGCTGAAGTTATAATACACTTCCTGTTTCACGTTTCTCGCCATAATTTCGTTTCCTCGCCACGGCCAAACCGTTCGAGATATCAAAAATCCCCTCGTAAACTTTCATCCTCAATGCCTTGACTTCATGCTGACCGAGTTTCGTGCCATGTGTTTGAATTCTCTAGGAGGAGTATTGCACATTCCATTGCGAGCGTTTTACAAACAAACCTCAATAGCCGACTTCCTGTTGGGCTGGGGTAAAAAGTAATAGTTTGAGGTATATATGAACGATGAGATCAACATGTGTACCGAGTTTCATATTATTACATGCAAGCGTGTTTGAGTTATGGACCAAGTGTTCGGACCCCGTTCCAGGGGGCGCTGTCTAGCCCCCCTGCCACACCCAGGTACCATCTTCAGCCCGGCTCTGATGGCTGTGGGATCTGACCTGTGTGCAAAGTTTCAAGAGTTTTCAAACCCGTTAAGGGCCCCAAAAGCCGCTAAGAGTCTCAAAATCATCAAAAAAAAAGAATTTTAAAGTTTGATGCGTTGCCACGGCAACAGTATCAAAGATATCAAGAATCCATTCACAGGTCTTCATCTGCTATGTATTTACATTATACAGATTAAGTTTGAAGCAAATCGGGTAAAAATAAGAGGGTGATTTCAAAGCATTTTGAAAGTGACACACTTCCTGCTGCCAGTTGGTGGCGCTATAACTTTGACTCACAATATTCACATCCATGTGATCGTCCTCTTACAGCAAACAAACTGCTGAAGTTTCATCAAGATCAGTTAATGTATGCTGAAGTTCTGACACACTTCCTGTTTCACGATTATCGCCATAAGTTCGTTTCCTCGCCACGGCCAAACCGTTCGAGATATCAAAAATCCCCTCGCAAACTTTCATCCTCAATGCCTTGACTTCATGCTGACCGAGTTTCGTGGCGTGTGTTTGAATTCTCTAGGAGGAGTACTTCAAATTCCATTGCGAGTGTTTTATGAACAACCCTAAATAACCGACTTCCTGTTGGGCTGGGGTAAAAAGTAATAGTTTGAGGTATATATGAACGATGAGATCAACATGTGTACCGAGTTTCATATTATTACATGCAAGCGTGTTTGAGTTATGGACCAAGTTTTCGGACCCCGTTCCAGGGGGCGCTGTCTAGCCCCCCTGCCACGCCCGGGTACCATCTTCAGCCCAGCCCTGATGGCCGCGGATTCTGACCCGTGTGCAAAGTTTCAAGAGTTTTTGAGCATGTTAAGGGCCCCAAAAGTGCCCAAATAGTCGTATAAATAATAATAATAATAATAATAATCGTTAGGAAAACAATAGGGCCTTCGCCCTTTCAGGGCTTGGGCCCTAATAATAATAATCCTAAGGAAAACAATAGGGCCTTCGCCCTTTCAGGGCTTGGGCCCTAATAATCGGAAGGAAAACAATAGGGCCTTCGCCCTTTCAGGGCTTGGGCCCTAATTAGACCAAAGGTTCATTTTGCGCCGGAGTTCTCCTTTAAAGCCCTTTGAACAGGTTGCACTGAAACTGTCTTTTGGATTTTGAACCGTTTGGTTCCCATTGAAGTCCATTATATGGAGAAAAATCTTGGAATGTTTTCATCAAAAACCTTCATTTCTTTTCGACTGAAGAAAGAATGACAATTGGATGACATGGGGGTGAGTAAATTATCAGCAAAAGTTTTTTTTTTTAAAGTGAACTACTCCTTTAAAGTCCAAATGAGAGTTTAAGTGCAGCTTCAAAGGGCTTTAAACAATACCAGACGATGAATAAGGGTCTTATCTAGCGAAACAATCGGTCATTTAAAAAAAAAAAATAAAAAACATTGTTTTATAAGCACAAATGCTTGCCTTGCTCTGTTCTGTGATGTCTGTGGCTCTCCTGTTCGAACTCGTTCATCAAAATGAACAAATCTTTTTTTTCAAATCATTTGGTTCATTCAATGAATGAAATGAACGAAATGACTTGAAAAAAGATTCTTTCATTTCGATGAACTTTGAATGAGTTTGAAGAGGACTTTGAACAGGAGAGTCATGAACGCACATCACAGAACAGAACAAGGCGAGCATTTGTGCTTATAAAATTTAAAGCTTTTTATTGTTTTTTTAAATGACCGATCGTGTCGCTAGATAAAACCCTTATTCATCGTCTGATATTGTTTAAAGCCCTTTGAAGCTGCACTGAAACTCTCATTTGTACCTTGAACAGTTTGGTGCCCAGTGAAGTCCATTTTATGGAGAAATGTCCTGGAATGTTTTCATCAAAAACCTTGGGTTAGTTCACCCAAAAATGAAAATTATGTCATTAATGACTCACCCTCATGTCGTTCCAAGCCTGTGAGACCTCCGTTCATCTTCGGAACACAGTTTAAAGACCCCCTATCATAGCATTTGAAATGTTCCTATTTTTGTTTTAGGAGTTCCCAAAAACAGTTTAACATGCGGGCAAGGATAAAAAAACACTTTATTTGTCTTATAATATGAATTTATTTTTAACTAATTTGCTCACCGACTCCCAAATGATTCGTACAACGACTCATTTTTCCAAACCACTCCTTTGTGTGACGCTAATCAGCGGTGATTGGTCAGATGACAGACCCAGTCAGTATTGTTTGTTAGCATAATGCATAAACATATTGATAAAGCACTGCAGTACTACAAGACGCTCTATTCTTTATGACAACTCCAATAACAGAGACAAATATTTCACATTGGAGACCTAGAAGCTGCGCTGAGTGTAACTTGCGCACACACACACACGCACACATACTTATTGCGCCTTCCCTCCTCGCGCCCGACGCTACAAAACCGCTCAAAACCCATAAAAGCAACAATTATTAATAATACTTGCAGGTTTTGATTCGGAGGAGGAAGCTGATCCATATACGCTGGGTAAGTAAGTGACTGAGCCCTCCTTCAGGAATAACCGCTTGCGAATCCACATTTAAATTCATTTATGTTTTTGAACGATTCGTCATTACAATGAGAACACAATCAGGCTATACTGTTGTGGTATCATTGCAAATATGAACTCTAACCACCGATTCTTCACATGCTCGTCCCTGGTAAATGAAAACAAAGTGGCTGAACTGTCTTTGCATTGTAGAACACAGCGTCTTCTCGACATGATGCTATGATGAAGTATTTGAATGTGTAGACTTCAAGTTTACACTTCCATCTGCGCGCGCAGTAACTGGGCGTGGCCAATGACCTCTCTACGTCACGATGTAACAGCTAATGACTCGTTTCAAAAACAATTCATTTCATAGACTCAGAGTCGACTCTCACTTTTGAAAGACAATAACTTTATATAGGGTACACTTTCAGATATAAATCTTTGCAGGATGTTTTCATTCCCTTAGAGCTATATTCCACACCATATGAACAGTCATTTTCAAAAATCCATGATAGGGGCTCTTTAAGATATTTAGATTTAGTCGGAGAGCTTTCTGTTCCTCCATTGAAAATGTATGCACCTTATACTGTCCTTGTCCATAAAGGCAATACAGACATCATCAAAGTAGTCCATGTGACATGAGTGGGTTAGTTCGAATTTTTTAAAGCATCGAAAATAATGTTTGGTCCAAACATCGCAAAAACAACGACTTTATTCAGCATTGTATTCTCTTCCGGTTCTGTTATCATTGCTCGTTCATGATTCCAATGACGCTGCTGACGTATTATCTTGCGCGCCCAATTAGGACGATTAGGACATCCGCGACATGCACACTTACGAACCATTTTTAAAAAATATTGCAATACCAAAATACAAACAATGTAGAAAAGCTTGAATACAGCGCGCGTGAGACTGTATGAGACTGTAAACGAAGCTCGGGCGCACAAGATAACATGTCAGAAGCGTCATTGGAATCGTGAATGAGCAATGACAACAGAACCGGAAGAGAATACAATGCTAAATAAAGTCGTTGTTTTTGCTATGTTTGGACCAAAAAGTATTTCCGATGCTTCAAAAAATTCGAACTAACCTACTCATGTCACACGGACTACTTTGATGATGTCTGTATTGCCTTTATGGACAAAGACAGTATAAGGTACATACATTTTCAATGGAGGAACAGAAAGCTCGCCAAAATATCTAAAATAGCTAAATCCAAAATATCTTAAACTGTGTTCCGAAGATGAACGGAGGTCTGCGGGCTTGGAACGACATGAGGGTAAGTCATTAATGACATAATTTTCATGAATTTCATTTTTGGGTGAACTATCCACATTAGATGATTAAATGATGGCACTTTTTTTTTTTTGGATGAACTATCCCTTTAAGGGCTATTTAATTTGCTTTGTGACATCAAACTGTTTCCTGAAAGAAACATGGTAAATGAGAAATTCAGCAGATTGAGTTCACTTACTGCACTTTCTTCCAGCTTCAGTTTGACACGTCTGTCCTCAAAGTCCTTTAGCAGTGTCTCAGTCAGACCTTTCTGGGAGACAGGTGATGACACATCGGCAAGTGTGCTCAAGGGCTTGATGGGGGTTGCTCGGGAAACAGTTGGGGACATAGGTTTTTGGCTTCCCCATGGCTGGGGTGTCATAATTGACATAGAGGGCAGTCTGGAACTGGGTCGTTGTGAGGACAACTGTAGACTTTTATCTGGAGAGATAAAGCAAAGCAAGAGATTATGATTATGATTCATTCACCATCTTAAACAAGTCATTCGTTTCCCAATTCCTTTTCTCTGGATTACAGTTACAATTTTTGAATACTGCTTCATGTTTTCCATGGAGCATTTTTTAAATAATTACATCTAAACACATACTATATATTTGTTGAAATCCACTCTCAATTTCATTGTGGACTACAGATTCTGTACTGATAAGTGGCCTGACATGAATCCATGGTTTATAGGTAGAGGGCCAAGCACCAGCACAAATTATATCCGAAAACAAGACAATAGCATGTGTGCATTGGATTGTCTGAAAAACAGTCTTTAATTTGAAATGTGCATTTACATCCATAAAGTAAATGATTAATCATTTTTCAGTGAAGCAGAATGCCATGTCATGTCCAAAGTTCAGAAACTAAGTTGGCAATTCTTTTTCATTCCTTGGTGCTGCTGACATCCATAAACATTTAACACTTAAGTTAATCAGTTAGCTATAAAGAAGAAAGTTATGAAACACATTTTCCCCAAACATTGTCCAGAATAATAAGACAACAGACAATAGTGCCTATATGCAGTCCCCCTTTGCCCATTTGTTATGTTTATGTTTGCCATGTATTGAGTGCAGTGAGACTGAACAGTTTTACCTGCCATGGATAATCGAGAGACAGAGAAAGTGTCCAGACTCCAGGAATAAGGGTAATCATGATCAGACTTCTTTTCTGGAATTACAGAATCCACTTCTGCTATGTCCCCATGTGGAGTTTGTGGTGAGAATACAGTTTCCTCACTACTATATAATGGAGACCTGGGTTCAGAGGAAGTAGGCACTGAAGTCTTGGGTGCTGAGGTGAGTACTGAGAAAGAGTCTCTCAGATCTTGGAGCTCTTGTTCACGCCTGAGGTCCTCTTCAATTTCCTGGCGGATGCTGTCTGGGGCATTCTGCATTTTGGGGCTCCAGTTGGTGTGCTCAAAGTGAGATCTCCTTTTAGGAGCGTACCAACTATTTTTTGTGGGATCCAGTGGGGACGGAATTTTTGGAGAGTATAATCTGTTCTTTCCTAACATTCTGTTGTCGTTTTCTGCAATCCAGGGTGGCTCTTTTTCTGTAATGAGTTTGTTAGTTTGGCTGTCAACACCATTTTCTTTGTATACCCTTACTTCAGAATGGTTGTTTTCCTCAGAATATGCAGTCATTTGGGCTTGGTTTCCAAAAGTGCTGCTGTCAGTGTTTCTTTGAACCATGGATTCATCAGGATGTCGATGAGGACAGCAAGGCGAAAGAACCTCCTTTGGATCTAAGATGTCACCTTCATCTACTAGTACAGGTTGCTCTGTAATCCACATATCATTTTCAGAGACTGTTATTTGCTCTACATCATTTGAGGGACTTTCTCTTAAACTTGTCCTCATAGATGTGATTAGAATTTCATTGGGTTGTGAAGCAAATGACTTCTTGTCCTGTACTTGGTTCTCTCGAATGTGGTGACTTGAAACACGCTGTGAGTTATGTCTCTGTTTCTCAAGTTCAAGCTCTCTCTGAATAAGGAAACTCACTCTGTTTGTTTCTTTGGCTTTTGCAGCTTTCACCTGTGAAGACGACATGGTCAGAATTGGCTTTGTCCTAATCTCCACCATCTCTGAATTGTCTGAGCGCAAGATACCCCTGGATCGCCTTAGACTCTCTTCACGTTGTTGGGAAATTCTGATTTCCCTTTGAATGGGAGTCTCATCTGCTCTAAGCATTGTCAAGCTACTTTCCATCTCTGAAATGGAAGGTTCGTTCAAAACGCTCCAATTATTGGTGTAGCCTTCACTTCGGTCACCAAGACCAGAATCAACATCATCTATGGAACCACTCACATCTTCTGGAGCCTCAGTCACAGTTACAGTCTTTACTTCTGCCTCTTGTTGTGTTGATAGTGGGATCTTCTTTTCCTCTAGGCTGTTCTCTTTGCTTACTTGTTTTGGAGTGAAGATGTTGGCTGTTGAGGATAGAGATTGTCCTCGCAATTTAGGGGAGTAAGGGAGCTGCTGAGGGCTCTGTAGGAAGGGGTTCTGTTTTGATCTTTCCATCATTAAAAACTGCTTTCGTGCTGCATTGAAATCAATTTGCTCATTGTCTATGGTGCCAGGCTCAACCCTGGCCTGTTCGGTCTTTTCACTCACTGGTTTGTAGCGTAGACTAAACCCATCTAGGAGTCTTTGTGGCATGTTACTGAGGTGCAGATTTTCCAAGGCACTCCACTGCTCTTTAAGGGCAGGGCTATTCTTGGGTGCCTGATTCCGGATGATCTCAATTCGATCTTGATTTTCCTCCTCTTCACTCACTGTGGAGGCATCCATCACTCTGTAAAGGTCATCTCCGTTAGTTTCTTCGAATAGCCTTCCGGGTCTCTTTTCCTCTGTGTACGCCTGCAGTTTAAACGTGCTCTTCTCCTTCAAGGTATTCAGTTTGGCCTGTCTTTTTGGAGAAATCATGTAGACTTCATTCATCTCTGCTTCTGGGCTTGCTGGGTCATCTACGAAGGAATAGAACCCAACATGTGAGCCTGTGCTGCTGGCAGTTCCAGGGCTGCCGAGGTTGCTTGGGGTACTGGCAATCCAGTCCTCACTGTCACTTCCATCCTCAGACACAGACACTTGTTGAGCCTTGACCATCATGTCTGGGGTGCTTTTACCACTGCCAGATGACCCCTTCACAGTGGGCTGCATGCCTGTTACTGTTACGCTTTCCAAACTGAACCTGAGAGAGTCACCATCCTCACTGCTACTCCATGTGTTCTCTAGTGACTGTGGTTGACCAGTAGGGCTCAATATGGAGCGCAAATCCGACTGCTCTAGCTTAGGGGAGAAGGGCTTTATTACCCAACGCTTTGGGCTGCTGGTCATGGGGACTGGTGGATGGTTTGAGGCAGGCCTGGGAAGTAGAGTTCTCAGAGAAGGTTGGGAATGAATCACAGCCTGCTCCTCTACTGAGGGGTATGTGGATGAATCATATAGGTTGACTGTCACGGTTGAAGCCCGTCTCTGGGTAAAAAAAAAAAAAAAAAACGAAAGAAAACAGATTTACTACTGTTAGCGTGTGGAGAGTATCAGATGTTTGACTCATATTGTGTGTAGTGTGTAAGTAAAAGTGACTAAGTATCTCCAGATGTGTAACATGCATGGTTTAAGATGTCTTAGCTTAAAAGGTTTAGCAAGTTGTGTCTAATGAGTTGAAAACATTTACAATGTACATTGAGAACTTTTATGAAAAATTTTACACTCATTACATTAAACAGAAAGTCATTATAATTTAAAATAAGGACTTTCTGTCATTCTGTCCATGACTTTCTGGGTGGTGATGGCGCAGTGGATAAGACACATGCCTTTGGTGTGAGAGACCCGGGTTCGAATCCACTACGAGACACCAATGTGTCGCTGAGAAAGACACTTAACCCCTAGTTGCTCCAAAGGCGTGCGACCTCTGACATATATAGCAATTGTAAGTCACTTTGTTAAAAACGCTTCAGCTAAATTAATAAATGTAAAAATGTAAATGTAAAACTGTTAAAAATGCATAGAGGGAGATAATACACTTTCACTTTCAATACACTTGCCCCTTGTGAAAAGACACAATAGTTCTTGCAGAGTAACCATGTTTTAACTGTGGTATTTTGTAAAATTTGGTTTAATTTCTTTATGTTGATGGCTAATTCCAAGCTATCACAGTTTTATAATAACTGTTATTTAAGTGGAAACGGTTACTATGGTCAACTTTAATAGTTTTTTTTTTTTTTTTTTTTAAAAACTATAACTACAACTGACATAACTGTTATACAATGCATTTCCTTGATTTACACACACACACACATATATATATATATAATTTCCTTACTATAGTACAATCATGGTAAATTGATATAGTTTCATCAACTCAGCCTACAATTCAGCTAAAAAACAATGTTTCTGTTTGCCTTTTTTACAGTATAAAAAGACCCATCTTCTACTTTGTATTATGACACCTGTCTGTAGTATGAAATTACATATTAAATAATAAAAATGCAGTCAATGGGTTATTGAAAAGCTATACATTTTATGATGTTTAATAATAAAATTAGTACATTTTTAATAAAAATATAAAAACTACATTTGTATAATAATTTCTGATGATTTAGTCTAATTTGGGTCTAATAACTTCTGATGAAAAAAGTATTTGAAAATATATACATCCTCAGACGGTGATAGTGATACATGTTGGATGGTGATAAAAAACTGTCACTCACCTCAAGTTATTGAAGAGATTTGTAATATTCTATATTTTATATAAAATAATTTAGCATTGCGGGAAAAACATTTTCTGGTCTGAGTTACTGCATCAAAACAATAGATAAGACTGTCTACTCTGAACAAGCTTACGTAGTTGTAAGGGAGTTTTGCTTACTGCAAGTGGGTGCCCATGTGTGACATTGTGAACTGTGAACCACTGATAAACTGATTTCCTGGAAACCGCAGCTCTGCCTATGCTGATTGGCTCATACTGTTTGAGGGGTGTCCCAAAATGTGCAGAAAATGCACTGTAGCTTTACAGTGTGTTGACCAAAGCATAGAATCATGTAAGTCATGTTACAGGGAGTCCTAATACAAGCTTTTTATTATTATTCATATTGTTTTAAATGTATTACAGCTTCATTTCCAGATACAAATGCAATTTCATGATGGTGACCCATATTTTAACAACCACTGATAACAGAACAGCCATGTTTTGATAGATGTTCAGTGGAATGGACTCAACATAAAAAGCACATGAAGCTGCTCTTTTATTTTCTTTCAGACAGATGCAATCGAAGATAAGATAACCATATTCAACCTGATCAACCTTTAGCATACAGTGACAATAAAATGGCTGAAAGTGAAAACATCCCCACCCCCCAAAAAAATCCCACCATTCCCGCCATCTCAATTAAAATATTGAGATAAGTACTTTTGTCTTTTAGAAAAACGGCATGCTCAGCTACAAGTTGTACTCTTTTAATTTACTGTTTACAAATGAGTTAGGCATCTTATATTTCCTGTCTCTCTTACAAATGATCTCACACCTTTCAAATGTAGAAATAAGATGAGCTATTTATTCTAACGTAACAAGACTTTCAAAAAACGTTTTAGCCAAAGAAAAAATGGCCAACACTCACCCTCTGACATCAGAAGAGGAATCAGAGCCTGTAGTGTCACATGAAGGAGGCACATCTGTCTTTACTGCACTGACTTGACAAAGTTCAGCTAATATATCATATTTGCAAGCATAGACACACCCCACACCCAGACTGAAAGGGTGCAACAGACTGATAGATTGTGGAATGGGTTTTGAGGAAGAATAGGCACCTGGCAGATTAATATAAAAGCTTATTACTGATCCATCTGTACACAACCATCTGATGGTTAAAATTAGAGATGTTTAACGGGCCTGAATAAATTAATATACATTCTTAACTATGATGTATCCTTATGGACTGTAGTGAGGATGACAACAACAGTGCAATTAAAATTAAAGCTGAAGCTGTTATTTGAGCTGTGCAGTGAGTTGAGGAAAACACTTGAGTCAGAGCAGATAGATGAGTGTAAAATAAAGAGCATGACACTCATATACATTCCAGACTTTATGGCCAAGCAAAGTCATCCCTAGTAACTTTTTAACTAGTCATGTAAAAAAAAAAAAAAAAAAAAAATCTATTACTGAGTCCTTTCACCTTTGTGCACAGAAGTTTCTGGGAATTGAAAAAATTCAAATCCTGACACCTAGTGGATAAGAACCATAAACTTGAGAATGTCAAGCATGGCAGGGTCCGTTTACATGACACCATTTTAAACTAAAAACTCATTTCAGAACTGAGGGGGACAGAAATGTCAGGTGTAATACCAGTTTTTATCTGACCTTTGTGTAATTGACAGATTTTGTTTTTGATTTCATCGCTTGCTTTTAATTAAGTAAGAAATAAAATACATAGCTGAACAATAACCACTAATTCTTATTTTTTTAATGACAATTTTATAATTGTTTATGTACTGTGCATTTGTGCAAGTCCTCATGGATTTTATACAATGTAAAAGTTTGAAACATAACAAATGTTTAATGTTTTTGAAAGTCTCTTCTGCTCATCAAGGCTGCATTCATTTAATAAAAAAATGTAGTAAAAACAGTAATATTGTGGAAATAGTATTACAATTTAAAATAATGTTTTCTATGTGAATATACTATAGTAAACTGTAATGTATTCCTGTGATCAAAGCTGAATTTTCAGCATCATTATACTCAAATAATCATTATACATCATACGTTATTGTCAATAAATACTTTGGAGATGGCCTGAAAAACACACAACCATATATTGTCACATTCGTGTCTTCGAGTCTTCAAGTTTCCTCAGTCAAAACATTTCTGTTTTTTATTCAGCTGCTGCTACAGCCAATAGCTGGATGCCTTTGTCCATATAAGGGATTTGTGGAATGTCATAGAGTGCCGAAGTGATGACGTCACTTTGCAGGACAACTCGGAAAGCGCGGTGCATGGGTTCCCTCAATCGAAGAGCTATGCATTTTCCCCATAGACTTTTGGAAAATCGCAAAAAATAAGAACTGTGTTTAACAAAGAGTTGTGACCCTTACACGTTTTGATTAATTTTACAAGTTAATCCAAAATGTATACATTTTGAAGCTTATAAAGTTTTTAAAAAACCCAAGCAGACACAATAAAGTAAAAAGTAACTCACTTCCGCGTTTTGGCCTACAGAGTGACGTCATAACTTCGGCACTCTATCCACAAGTTTCCTACGCCCCACGAGGCCTTGCATCAAAAGTGGGCGCGACTTCCGGTTTGAAGTAAACAAAGCGCGACTCGACATGCTTGACACTCGTTCATTCAACAGTTGAAAGTCATTCAAGTTATAGCGATCCAAACTAGCTAACGATGTGGGAACACAACCTCAACGAAATTCAAAAGGGTGAAATAACAGTACCTTTACCCTCGGCAGTAGTTGATTGGGAGTATTATAATAACATTATTAATAATCAATACTCATCAAGGCATGGTGACAGACAGTTGTGTGAGCTGACAAACAATTAAAATAAAAAATACACACTTAGTCATTGTGCTTTGGAGTTTATTTAAAATTATAAATGAATGTGCTGCTTGAAATTACTGGCACATTTGGTATTCTGTCAACACGGGCTTTGATCCTGAGTTTAGGTGTAACATCAGTAGCGAACAGCCAAACACATGCTGATAGAGTTTATAGAATATTAAGAATTTAAACAAATGTACACAGGAAGATTCGTCTTTTGGGAGGTGATGGAAACTACAGTCGTTGGCAGGATCACTCTGATTTCGTTATCAGCTTCAAAACGATCACGTTTAAGCCACTGAATCAGTTTAGTCCGGTTATACATACAAGCGCGAACAGCACATGTTGTCCCTGACCTCCGTAACGACATCTCTCATAAAGATTTGCATCTTTAAATAGTAAAATAATTATCCGAAAAACAGCTAGCCTCTTCGCTAACTAACACACAAAATACCATTGGATTGGAATGCTACTTCTGCCGCCTCACCGGAAGTTTCACCCACTTTATTTTTTACAGGAGCGCCCCTCGGAAACTTGTGGATAGATGAATCCGACGAGCGTTCTGTGTAGGCTGCCATCTTGTGGCGACGCCATTACTGAGCTGTTACACCGGCATAGACATATGCACCGGTATGTAAACAAAACTCGGTGATAACAGCTACAGCCAGGCAGAATGACTTGTTGGGTTGATGATGTTAGACCTTGGCCTCCAGTCACAGATGAAGGTACAAACGATCTTACAGATTATTTATGAAAATAGCTTGGCAAGCTAGCTAGGCTAACGAGGAAACTATAAAAAGATCTGTCCATTTGGCAACAATAAATAAATAAATGAATGAAATCAAATAAACAAATTCATGTTTTTCATTTGTCTCCATTATTTATCTCATTTTCACATTGCAACGGGCAAGGGTAAGGTAACGTTACAGCTAGAAAGTATACATAATATCGACCAATTAGTGTTTTTAAACCATGGAAAGAGGTCAATTTAACAGCAGGAGAACAATTATGTCGCATAACGTTACATTTAGCTCAGGAAAGCCATTTAATTGCCGTTAATTGAAGCCGTTAATTGAATAGAAAAAATAGCAAGAGAGGAGATTTTGCTGATCACTATATCACACATTTATTATATATTTTTTTACTTATGTCATTAAAAAATTGTTATTATACGCGAATGTCCGCGTCTTGTACTCGCCCAGGAAATCTGTGTAAACCGTACAGCACCAGACAGGGGCAGTCGACCCGGTGTATTCACAATGTTTTCTCTTCAAAATTGAAATTTTACTGCCACCATTGAAACAATTTATAACAGAAACTGTTTACCCACTCGACATTATACAAGGGGTAACGTTGTAACGTTAGTTACAGTCGTAAATCGCGGACTGTTTATTCCAGTGGACGCAAGTTGCAACTAAAACAATAGGAGGCAATGGCGCAACGCTACCCAGCAACAGCTCAGTAATGGCGCCCGCTTACTTCCGGTAGTTTCGCCGGATTCGTCTATACGCACAACCGGCTCTGCGTCATGGAATGTCCAACACATTCTCATCCTTTAGCGTCATATAGAATGCTATATGACAAAACGGCGCTATACTACGCACATGGCACCCGTTATTGTTAATATAACACGTGCTGTGAGGGCTAAGTTTAGGTGTGGGGTAGGGTCTGCGTGTCATATTCATGCTAAAGGATTTATGACGTCTTGGGTTCTCGTGTTGTATTAATGATAAAGGGTGCCATGTGCGTAGTATAGCGCCGTTTTGTCATATAGCGTTTTATGTGACGCTAAAAGATGAGAACGGGCTGGAATGTCCCTGAATAGGTTCATGCCCACTTTCGGGGGAAAACAAACTAGACTCCCCATTAGGGTTGGGTATCGTTTGAATTTGAACGATTCTGATTCCGATTCCTTGTTTCGATTCCGGTTCCTAACGATTCTCGATTCCGATTCTTTTAAGAGGCAGGGTCAAAAAAGTTTAGCTAACCTTGCTAACCAATGGCCTTTCTGAAGTAAATACTCCTTTCTGAAGGAAATCCTCCTTCTGTAAAAATACTCCTTTTGTCACAAATTTTGCATTTTGCCGAGATTTTGTTATTTTTAGAAAAGTGAAGCCACACTTTGGATCGCCGACGTAAGGTACTCATGTTCGACTCGCGTGGTTATGCCAACACTTCCGGTAGACGCTTCTTCGTTGGTGTTGTTCAGCGGTTTCTTCTTCCGCTCGGCGGACTGTGAATATCGAAACTAGGAATCGAAATTTTAACTTTTGAACGATTCCAGGAAAAACGAAAAGTTAGTCTCGGT